TCACAACTTTTCTTGAGAGCTGAACTTGCAGGGCAACCAAGTAACCTGAAATCCAAGGAGGGACTTCCCTTCTCCCGTGGCCCCCACCCTGCCCCTACACATACTGCCAGGACTATGTCATCAGAGACAAAGCACAATAGGAAGGTAAGCCAGTAAGAAAAAAATCAGCTACAATTTTAGGGCTAGCATGCATTATAAATACTCTGGGAGTCTCAGATACAAAGGGAGCTCAAACTCATTCCCAGCCTCTTTTCCAGAGCTCCATCAAGTGTACAGAAAAGAATGCGAGCATGACAGGAGACTAGGGAGCCTCATATGGGTGCAGGAAAGCAAGGAAACCCTGCCTGTGCCCAGACGCTTCTCTCAAATGGAGCAAAAATTAAAAGTCAAAAGGGCAGCAAAGCCTTTCACCCTCCAGGGCACAGGTAAACACTCATGGTGGCTGGAGGTAAGAAAGAAGATAGCAAACAAAAGTCATCCTCTACCCCTGGAGGAGGAGAAGAAAACAGTCCTGAGCCCTATATCCTACACCAGTATCATAGGGGAAGAGCCAGGAAACACTCCCACACAAACATGCAACAGATACATACCATCGGGAGAAGGGACAGGAATGCTATGGAAACTCCATCCCCAAGCTCCAGTCACACAGGGCCTACCTAAGACTAAGGCTGAACCTGTACGATAGAGAATCCCTCCTGCCACCCATCACAGCCCCTTAAGCACTGAGTAATAACAGCATTCTACTGTTAAGGGAGAAGCAAGAGTATAGCGAGACTCCCCCCCCCCGCCAAAAAGCCACAGCTGCACAAGGAAGGCAGAAAATTGAGGATGGAATGGAAACACTGAGAAAAACCCTCCGTCAGCCCAGCCCCTACCCTAAACACAAAGTAAAACCAAAAAAACTCAAACCAGTTGATGTCAAGTAGACCAACCCATAGCTACCCTGTGTGTGTCAGAGTAGAACTGTGCTCCACAGGGATTTCAATGGCTGATTTTTCAGAAGCAGATCTCTAGGCCCTTCTACTGAAGTACCTTGGGGTAAACTGCTAGCATACTGGAGGTAAACATAGCAACAACAAAACCAAAACCTATCTCAATTCCTGACTAGAGTGACTCAACACACTTTACTGATGGCCTCGCAGAAAACCAAAAAAAAAAAAAAGAACCAAAACTATTGTTGTTGAGTCAATTCCGACTCACAGCAACCCTACAGGACAGAGCAGAGCTGACACATAGGGTTTTCAAAGCTATAATTTTTACAGAAGCAGATTGCCACATCTTTCTCTCATGGAGCGGCTGGTGGATTCAAACTGCCAACTTTTCAGTTAGCAGCTGAGCACTTAACCACTGTGCCACCAGGGCGAAGAGCCCATTTCTTGGAGTAAATACTATTTACTTCAATCTGTACTATTCTACACAAGATGCCCAGCATTCAATAAAAAAATTACAAATACACACACACAAAAATAATAAGAAAAACAACCTGTTGTCAAGAGAGAAACAAAACCATATTCAGAGATGACCCAGTGGCCTTTTTGAAATCAGGATCTGCCACTGGCAAACAGAGGGTGTACGTTTGCACCTACAGGGAAGGGAGGAGGGGGAGACATTCAGAACTCCAGAGACAAGCAAGCACATGCCCTTCCACCGTCTCAGATCCTGACAAAAAAAATTAGTCATGAAAAAGCTATTTTTTAGTATATTATAAACAGTCAGTACATTAAAAATTAAAACTACAACTAAAATTATGAATACTATGATTCTCATCAAGCTATTAAAAAACTCTCATTGTCACACATGAAAAATATCTTGTAATTTTTCACAGTGTTAAGTATGCATATTTCTTATGCCATGGGTTTCAAATGAGTGAAAACTTTTAAAAATTGTACTGGAGTAGAATGTAAAGAAGACATAAAATGTAAAATTTCTATAGGACAAAAGAAAACATTCAAAGATACAATATTTGCAAAATAATTAACATTCCTAACAAATACTTTCACAAAGCATAAACAGACAAACAGCTAAATAGGAAAACAGGCAAAGGATATAAACTAGAACTACACTGAAGAAACACAAACAAAGATTGATGATATCCAAAGTTGTTAGGAATATAGAAAACTGGGCACTCTGACTTACTGCTGAGTGGGGATGTAAACTGGTATAACCAGTACTCCTCCAACTTCTCAATAACAAAAATAATCCAGGTACTATACATACTCAAAAGGAGCCTCCTTTCTAGTTACATTTCTGCCACATTCCTATTTATCCTATATTCAAGCCACATCAAACTATATTACATTCGGATCATTCACTTTCATGTCTTTTCACTACTGAAATACCTTTCTCCTTGCAAAGTCCCCTGCAAAGTCCTCTCTCTTTCAAGACCCAGCTCAAATACTATTTGCCCTACTATCCCCCAGATAGAACTAACTGACCTTCCAATTTCAGATCCCATAAGAGTTGGTCCATTCCTCTAATATAACAGTTAAAACATATTAAAGTGAAGTTATATCACAGACGTGCTAATTTATAATACATAAAAAGCTGCTACTAATCAACAGGAAAAATGAGACTACAACATGAAGAGTTCACAGAAAAGAAAATATAAATGGCTCTTAAACATATGAAAACATACATACAATCTCAATCATAATAAAATCTAAAACATAATACTATTTTTTAACCTATCAAATTGGCAAAGACAAAAAAAAATTCGACTGTGTGAGAAAATAGGCATTCTAATAATACTTGCTGGTAAGGATAAAAATTGGCATGATCTTTATTAAGGCAATTTGGTATTAAATCTATCAAAATTACAAATGCTCACATACTGTGATCCAATAATTCTATTTCTAAGAGTTTATACTATAGATATATTCATAATGTTTGACATGATCTATGTACATGATTATTTACTGTAAGATCATTTGTATTAGCAAAAGATTAGAAAGATAAATAAATGCCTATCAATAAAGGAATGGTTAAATAAATTATGGTATATTTACACAATGAAATATTACAGTTAAAATGACTAGGTAGCTCCACATGAAACAATCTCCAAGACATACTGGCAAGTTAAAAAAGAATGTAAGGTGTAAAACAAGGTGTATAGTACACTACCACTTATGCAAAAAACAAGTAATATAGTCATATAGTTATATGCATAGACCATCTAACGAAAAATTAGCGTAAGAAACTAGTTAATAGTGGTGGTCACCTCTAGGGAAGCACGACTGAGTGGCTAGAGGACAAGGGTGGGAGAAAGACCTACTTTTCACTACACACTCTTTCTACTGTTTGACTTGCTTACCATGAATATCTTTTCAGAAAATTAATGAATTCATTGTAATTAATAATTAAAAAACAAAAAACAATCATTGATGTTGGTTGTCAGAATATTATAGACTCCTCAAGGGCAAGGGAATATGTGTCTTATTAACTTCATATCACCAATATCTTGCACGGTATCTGACACATGGCAGATGTTCAACAAAGTATGTTAAATAAGAGATAATTGTGGTAAATTCGTCAAATATTCAATTCAGTTCACAGAAACAAAATATATTAGCAACTGAGAGTTTACAAGTTCACCAAAAATTTTCCACACTTTAGTTTTCATTTTGGGTATCCCATACACTAAGGATTGTATTCTAGGAAATTCAGCCAAATTTAAAATTTTGTAGGTTGAGTTCAATTTTCATTTCAGTCCTACCCTCCAAAGCCACTGCTTCCATTACTCTAAAAGCTGTGAAGAGTCATAGTTCTAGAATCAGACACTTCGGACTGAAATCCTCCTTCCAACACTTCTACCTGTGTGACTGTGGACAAGTTACTTAACCTCTCTGGGATTCCATTTCTCCATCTGTAAAATGCTTATAACAGTATCTGCACCTCATAGTTATTGCGATGATTAAATGAACTAATACATGTAGTGTGCTTAATATAGTAAGCATTCTGTAAATGTTACCTATCATTACTTATGCAGCTTGTCAGCACCTTATTATAACTGTCACTGAGCCACTTCTTCAGCTTCAAAAATGGTGAAATTAAGGAAGAAAATATTCAGAAAAAGGGTGATGTAACGCTCATCTCTCTCACTGTTTCTATACTTCATTAACATCAGTGTTACCTAAAACAAAACAATTAGTGCTAAGCCCCAGAGCTTGAAAGGTTAGCCCAACATCTGCCTTTCAGTCCTTTGCCTTAGTAAGGGGCAAAACAATAATACTATTAGGCTATCATACTGCCATTTGATTTAGCAAGGTCATGGCAGTATAAATGGAGAAAAGGATTAGGTTCCTATTTCAGTAAGAAATCAATTCTTGCCCTTGGAAATGAGAGTTGGGAGAATAAATTCCATTCCTTTAGGTTTCTACATGTTCAAACTTTATATAAAGCAATACAAGTTTATACTCTAATATATACATTCTGCAAATCTGAAATTCTACTATATAATCACAGTACAGGCATGTATTTTCAATACACGATCTACAAAAAGTACTCAACAGGAAAAAATGTAATTTAAAGAGCAAAAAGAGCTACACACACAATATCTTAATTAAAATTCATTGATTGGAACAGTGAGTTCTGTTCTAAAGAGGCAGTGATAGCATACTGGAAAAAGCTCAGGTTTTGGAGCTAAACTCCTTGGATTCAAATTCTAGTCCCAACACGTACTAGCTCTGTGACTTTGGGCAAGTTACTTAACTATCTGTGCCTTAATTGTCTTATCTATAAAATAGGGATGATAACAATAGTTTCCTGATAATGTTGCTGAGGGGATCAAATCAGTTAATGCATGTCAGTGTTCAATAAATATTAACTATTATTGTAATAAGTCTTACCTTTCTTTCAGGACTAAAGAGCAAAGAAACAGAAATGGTAAACCTTTACAATTATAAGTCTCTCTATATATTTATGGAGCCAAGCATAATGTTTATTCATTAAAATTTTAAATGACAGCAAATAAAATAGTAACTAAAAGAAAAAAAAAAACTTACTTTGTAGCAGCAGCAAAATGTCTGTTGAGCACCTGAACGTTTACAGAACAAGGAGAAAGAGATGCCTGATAAGCCGTCTTGGAAAGGCTATGCCTCTGATGATGTATCAAGACTTGAAAGAAAAAAATATGTAAAATATCAACATTAAATAATCATATTCACAATTTTTTACATTATAAAAATTAGTGTTTTCCAAAACAACAACACTCAGTATTATGTGATTCTTAACTATTGTTTTGAAACTGTAATAACAGTAACTGCATTTCTCAAAAGTAAGACCAGGTAAATGTATCTATATTTAAACCATTTTATCTTCATTTATTTTTAACTTAATCTAGTTTAGACTCAACAAAGTATGTTAGCTATACTGTTAGAGAATATGCAGATGTACCCCTGAATTTTTTTTAATAATTTAAATTTTATTTATTCATATTTTTGAATAGGTCATACATTCACAGAGTTGTCTAAGGCACTCCTGAAGAATAAAAACAAATTGAAGAGATTTGTCTTACCAGAGATGAAGATTTGTTATAAAGCTATGCTAATTAAGACACTTTGTTATTGGCACAGCTACAATAAGACAGACTAATAAAACAAAATAAACAGCCCAGCAACAGACCCATGCATATATAGATATTTGAAATAATGACAGAGATGTTATTGTAAGTAAATATGCAAGGAATTCAATAAGTGGTGCTGACACAACTGATTATACACAGTGAAAAAAAGTATAACTACATCCCTACTCAATGCCACACACAAAATATCCAATTTAGATATACTAAAAACTGATATGTGAATGGTAAAACCTTAAGGCTTCCAGAATATGGGAAAATATCTTTATGACTTTGGGGAAGGTAACAATTTCACAAACAAGCCCCAAATAAAAAACCTAACCCGTTGCTGTCGAGTCGATTCCGACTCATAGCAACCCTACACAGCACTAGCCAAAAAAGTGACAGTAGTGTTAAGAATTTCTGTTCATCAAAAACTACTTTAAAGACAGCAAAAAGACAAGCCCCAAACCAGGAAAATATATTAGCAACATATATAATTGACAAAGGATTAATATCCAGGATATATAAAAATATATCCAACTGAAAAGTAAGCAAAAGAAATGAACATACTTCTTGTCACATAACAATGTATATATAAAATTTTGTATGGGAGACTAACTTGAAATGTAAACTTCATTTAATGACAACAATTAAAAAAAAAAAGAAATGAACAGACTTCTAATTGAAAAGAAAACACAAATGATACATAAATACATGACAAGATGCATAACATTAGTAATCACATAAATACAAATTTAAATCACAATAAAATATAGTTTTATATCAATGCTATTCAAAGAGTAGTTAGTGGGCCTGTTTGTTACAGGTCTGCAACCAATTAAGATTACACCAGCATGTCTCCCCACGGCATACTGCCTACCTGCACCGTGCACTTGGCATCACACCGACAGGCTGTGCAGGCACGGCCTATTGGAACCTGCCCAGCACTGACTACCGACCGTCCTGGTGGCTGCGGTGAGGGCCACAAACAACCCGTCCCAGTGGCTCCTCTTCAGCCAAACCTGCCCAGCT